GAGAAAGGCGCACCTCCAGCCTTCCCCGCAACCGGGAGAAGCCCCCTCCCTTTTGCAAGGTTGCCCCCTCCCCGCTTTTGGGGTGGGGGAGAATTGAGAGAGAGAGAGACAAACACACACACACACACAAAGAGGAGAGGGGAGCCGGCCGGCCCACCCGTTTTCCCCTTTCCCTGCGCGAGCGTGTGTGGATTTCCCCTTTTTTTTCTGCCCGCCCGGTTCCAGCTTCTCACTATCCAGGCGTTTCTGCAAAGCGGGAGGGGTCGAGGGAGGGGGGGCGGTTGGTGGGAAAAAAAAAGATGGAGCAGCAGCCAAGGATTTATAAAGCAAGCGGCGGAGTCCTGCAGCTCAGAGGCGACACGGGGGGAGGGAATCGGAGCTAACCGAGGAAGGAGGCTGCTGTTTCTGCTGCATAATACGGTAAATAAATACGAGCATGGGGATCCGCGTGTGAACGAAGCCCCACTCCCCCTCCCCTTTTGCTTTCGCTCTCGAGCCGGCGCTTTTTTTTTCTTGAAATTTCCCTCTTAAAATGAAGGTGCGTGTTATACGCCTGTGCGTGTTATACGCCGATAAATACGGTATATATTTTTATAAGAAACTTGCAGTCTGATTCAGCCTTACTGTCCTCATTTCAGTTTCTCCATTATCAAAGTGGAATGTAAGTGATGTTCAGGGCATAGAGAATTTTATTTAGAAATATTAGATGCTAGCCTTTTCCCTGGGGCAAGTATAGCTTTTTGTTCGTGTCTACTAAAAAATATTGTATGGCCCTTTCCTGTTAGTCAGGGGTGTCACACTGCCAGCCCATGGGCCGGATGCGTCACACTAAAACCACGCCCACCCCATTGCCGGCAATGGGGAAAAGTCACAATACATCACAACACGTCACCTGACGTTGCAAGTTTGACACTCCTGCTGTAAGTGAAGCATCCTTCCCCAGTGTTTATGGAGATTCTGTCATCCAGATCATAATTATCCCAAAGATGCTTTTTCACAAGGCAACTAAACTTTCTTGCTTTTCTTTTTTTTTTATCCAAAAAGCTTCTTCAGTTCTGACTGGATGGTAGGAGAATGGAAGGATTTATACTCCTTGCAGACAGCTGTTCATTTGCATTCTTTTAGAGAGTCATTGATGCCACCAGATTTATCTGTGTCATCAGGGTCACCTGAGTAGTGCAAATGGATGTGGAGCCTTCTTGGAACTGTTGAAAGGACTGTGTTGTAGACTGGAGATAGATCAGCGGTTCTCAACCTATGGGTCGCGACCCCATTTGGGGTCGATCGACCATTTCACGGGGGTCGCCAAGCAAGGCTGTCCGCCATTTTTTTCCCCTTTTCCGGCGGGTGCCTTACCTCCCTTGGGCTGGGCCAGCTGGTGGTCGGCCTGCTCCGTCTTTGCCGCTTGCCAGCTACGCCTCGGCCGGCGCAGGGGGCGGAACCACCCATGCGCGGAGCTCCCGGGCAGGGAAAGTCCTCGACTTACGACCGGTTGGGTAGTCCTCGACTTACGACCGGTTTAGTCCTCAACTTACGACCGGTTTAGTCCTCGACTTACGACCAGTTGGGGTCGCGGCATTAAAAAGGTTGAGAACTACTGAGATAGATGATGTCAGATCCCTCCCCCTGTGTTGAGAGAGGACTGTTCAGTTTTGACATAGATAGCTTCTTTGACCCCCTCTTTCAAACCAGCGGTCCTCTCTGTCCAAAATATGGTCTTTGCTGTCTTCGAAAGAATGGCTTTTGTTTTTTTAAATGCAGATGGACTACTGACTTTTGCCCTGATGGGTTTGTTCTCCTATGTTGTGCCATCCTCCCCCAAATTCTGGTCGCAACGAAAGTGTTTACCGCTGCCTGCCTGCTGCCACCTTTCCTTTCAGGGCCTCGCCTCCTTTTCCCCTATAAGTGACCTAGAAACGGCGCAATCAAAACTTCCCCTGAGGTGTTGCAATGCCCCACTTTGCTAAAAGCCAAAGGCTCTTGCGGCGTCTGCCTCTTCCGACTTGCGTCACGTGTAGAAGCTGACGTCAGGCGAGGCGGAACCCGGGGAGCTTGCGGGTGGAGCCGACTCTCTCCCGGGCAGCTGGTCTATCCGCGCGGGAGAGAAGAGCCGAAACCGCGCCTCGTTCTGGGACGGAGCTGTCGGGGTGCGGAAAGTAGGGGAAAGCGGGTTTGATTTTCTTCATCTGCGGCCGGCGCTGCTGCGGGGCATCGCTCTCCGGGAAGAAAGTGCCAAGCTCCCCTCCCCTTCTGATTTGGACATCTGGACGGGCAGCTGTTGTGCATGGCTAAAGGGAAAGCGACGGGAATTCCCAGACCTGTGACGCAAGCGGAGAGCGAAATGGCTCAGCCGCCGTCGCCGCCGCCGCCGTCCTGTTCCTTGTCCTGTCTGGAGGGGTCCAGCCCCCCGTCTCCTTACCTCCACAGCTTGCCCTCCTGGGTGCTGGAGGACTTTTGCCAGAAGATGGACTGCCTCAACGAGTACGACTGGATGCGCTTTGGTGAGCCAATCGGGTGGGTGGGGGAGAGGGGAGAGAATGTTGCTCTTTAAGTTTTCTCCTTTCAGCAGCTGTACAGAACGAAGGTGAATGACTAAAACTTCACAAAAGTATATTATTGATTATATATATCCACTATACTGTATGTATTTGCGCCAATTAACTAAAATATTAGGTCTCGCAAATTCTGGTAGTGTGGCGCCATGCCAGAAAGAATTTAATCTCTCTTGGCAAAATGATAGAATCTCTTAAAGATTTAGAAACCTACTAAAATAAATGATATGGCATGTATGAAAGATCAGAATCATTTTGGAGCTGTGTTTCTTATTTCTGCTTCTGTTTTGTTTTGTAATGAAAGAACTTTCTTTTTTTTTTAAATGAAGATGAGGAAATGAGGATGAAAATTAATCACATCTGTCAGTGAAAGTGCCATAACAGTAAAATGATGAATGATTCCTTTAAGAGGCTTCAGTAGTTGTGGCAAAGGGCATTTCCCATGAAAATTACTCACTATGATCTGTCCTTATTGTTTAACCCTACTGATAAAAGGCTTCTTGTTAGAGGTGTACCAATTCCATCTCTTGAAATAAAATGTNTTTAAAATGGGATTAGCTTCTCCTTTTTAAACTCTTCTTTTGAAGCAATGCAGATGAATAGACCACGATGTCATAACTGTTAACTCTAAGCAGCACTATTTACATGACATAAATAACTTTTCAGATATATATTTTACATTAAGGATGGGCAATACGTGATGAAGCTGAAGCAACCACATTTTGCTTTGGTGCCCAGCTCCTGTCTTAGTTTGAAAGAGTGGCTCCAAAAGGCCCCTCAGAGTTCATGACTGCCAGTGGATGTTATCATCTTAAAGATCCCTTCAGTGTGCACCTAGTTCTCAAAAGCACTTTGTTTTAGGACAGGGATGTCCAACTGTGGCAACTTTAAGACTTGTGGACTTCAACTCTCAGAATTCCCCAACCACCCATGAAGTCCTCAGATCTTAAGGAATTGCCAAGGTTGGACACCCCTGTTTTTAGGCTCTGCATTTATCAGATATCAAAGTTACACTATTATGTTAGAGGTTTCCAGGATTTTGTTTGAGGGGGGGCAGTGCACATCTTTAGAACTTGCTCATGACCAACATGACTAGTAAAATAAACCACCCAATTATCAGAATCCGAAAGAAAATCATATTCCTTCCCATGCTCCCTAGTCGCTTTCTCTCCACTTTGTCATTAAAGGAATGCTAAAAAGCAAAAATCAAGGGAAGCAGGGAGTTTGATATAACAGGGATGGGGGGTACGTTGGTACCCATCCTTTGTAATGACATAACCAGAGGCATGCATCTAAAATAATCACACTGGCTTCCATAGTGTCTTTTCACCTAGTACATGGACTGGAACTGTAATTTTATTGATGTTAAGTATGAAAATGAAAGGCAGAAGCAAATGTGTAGAGGTTTATCAATTGTTTTAAAGTTTTAAAATGTTTAATGCTATTAATAAATAATTTGTAATCTTATATGAGTTTCACAAAAGAGAACAAGATTATATTATATTCCAAAGGACATGGTTTGGGGTTTGGGGTTTTGTTTTTGTTTTTGCTTTTTATGTACATGCTTGTTTTTACCATTCCTACAAATGAGCTTTGGACACTGCACTTGGGAAATCGTTACAATAATAAACTCCCCCCCCCCCCCAGAGTTTGTTACAAATTCTTGCTGAGTGGGTGAGGGAGGCTTGGGAGGGGGCGGGGATGGAGATAGACATTCTGCTATATTAGTGAATAACATAAAAAAGGAAAATTCAGCTAGTAGATAAATTTCCTAAGGCTGTTCCCTTCCCTGGATGGCTCTCTGCAGCTGGTATAAAAGGTGTGATGGATTCTTTCTTTTCCATATAACTGTTGTTGGAACCAAATACTATTTTTGATGTTCTATGTCTCAGGGTGCATGCAGAAATGTTGGCATTCTCTAAAGCAGGGGTGTCAAACTGCCGGACCGCGGGCCAGACGCATCACGCAGAAGCCGCACCCACCCCATTGCCAGCAATGGCAAAACGGTCCCGATACGTTGCGCGATGTCACATGACGTCGCGAGTTTGACATGTCTGCTCTGAAGAATTCAAGATCCTAGGTATCCCAGGATTTCCACCCACTCTGCTTGTTGGGTTTCAAAACATTTTGAATTACCAATTCAGGCTCCCCTATTTCCTTGTGACTTGATAATTTAGAACAATTGTGAGGTGTGTAGTCTGATATTTCTTGCAAATGTTGCTCATGAGCATGAACACTGATTTCTGTTGGACCTACCTCCTCTATTGCCAAGCATTTAAAATAAAATATCTACAGTAGAAGTTCTAAACTATAAAATAGTGGCCATCAGTCACCATTGGCTTTCCAGAAGAACTTGGTTTTCAGGAATTTCTGGAAAGCCAAAACATTGTTTGCAAGGCAGTATGGAATATGCAACATGGGTGCTATTCTGTGAAAACTCCTTGCAAGAACTGTCTAAAATGAATTTTTGGCATTTGTCAACAGACCATTGCTTTTATATTTAGGGTGGAGTAGGAATGGAGATGTGTTTTGTGTCCTAAGAGGCAAAGTTACACACAACCAGATGTTTAACTGACTGCAATGAAACATATACCATTGGTTCCTCTAATACAGGGGTGTCAAACTGCCAGCTTGCAGGCCAGATGCATCATAGCAAAACCGCGCCCACCCTATTGCCAGCAATGGCAAAAATGTCACGACACATCACATGATGTTGCAAGTTTGATCACCCCTGCTCTAATACAAGCCCAAGGAGCAAAGGCTGCCAGCAATTCCTGGGGCTGAAAAATACTTTTAAATATGTACAGCTGAAAGATTTTGCATTGAGTTCTCCTTATCTTTAAAGTGCTGGTACTTCACCTGGCATTGTCACCGACCATAACTTAGGGTGGCTTCTCATTGTGCTCCTCCAACAGCCTGCAGAATACAATCTACTCTGTAGCTACTCTGTTACAAGCAGCTGAGGAAAGGCAAATGCTGGTGATCAACATCTCTGCCTTCTTAAATGCTAAAACCAGGTTTAGCACGAAGTCCACCTTATCCTGATTCACCTCAACAAAGGCAGCTTCCTTGGATGTGAGCATAATATGGGCAGAAAGTCATTCCATGTCAGAAATCAAGGCTCATTGATAACTCATTTACCAGAGAACAGGGCAATTCCTTCAACCAGAGGCACAGCAACACTCAGCAGGAAGGAAATACATTTAAACTGTCCAGGAAGAATTTCTTCTCTGCCCTAAAAAAAGCCACTGTCCCCACTCCTGCACACTGCAATTTCAGCTGACTCTGCTGAATTTTGTAGCTGGATTTCTTGCTACTATCACACAAAGATCATTGTCAATAATCCTGCCATTTTAAAAAATGGGCAGAATATCAAGAGTCACCAGAGTCATTTGTTGAAATGGGCAGTTATAGAAATCAAATAAAATTTTGAACAGTAATTGGTGGGTGTTTTTATGGACAGGAGCAAAATCTTAGCCAGGAAAGTCACCAGTTGCTGCCTATGGAATGCTAAAGGAAGGAGTAGTATTGAATGAGAAAACAACAGGCTTAGTCCAATTCCAGATGCAGAGTAAGGACACTGCATGAGAGCAGCATAATTTAGGTTGATACAACTTCCTCTTGGAGGAAAGAACAGCTTTTGTTCCCTTTTTTGCCCACCACCAGCATTAAAATCTTACATCTGAAAAAATTTTCCCTGCCACAGACAGAATTGGATGTTGCAATATCTTTGTTGTGAACATGGCAGGGCTACATAAATTTGCATAGATAGTTGTCAACCATCAATAGATAAACTTAACCCCAATCCATGGAACGGGGGAGAAAGCATGAGACATAATAAGCCAGTGGTTCTCAACCTGTGGGTCGGGACCCCATTTGGGGTCGATCGACCATTTCATGGGGGTCGCCAAGCAAGGCTGTCCGCCATTTTTTTTGTCCGCCATTTTTTTTGTCTGCCATTTTCCCCCCTTTTCCAGCGGGTGCCTTACCTCCCTTGGGCTGGGCCAGCTGGTGGTCGGCCTGCTCCGTCTCTGCCGCTTGCCAGCTACGCCTCGGCCGGCGCAGGGGGCGGAACCACGCATGCGTGGCGCTCCCGGGCAGGGAAAGTCCTCGACTTACGACTGGTCGGGTAGTCCTCAACTTACAACCGGTTTAGTCCTCGACTTACGACCAGTTTAGTCCTCGACTTACGACTGGTTGGGGTCGCGGCATTAAAAAGGTTGAGAACCACTGTAATAAGCAGATGTGGTTGATCAATGTGCAAAACTCACTGGGTCCAAAAACGTATAAGAGCCATACCCTCATTAAAATACCCCCTGGGTGAGCTCTAAATCTGTCCGCGACGTTTTTCCATCTGTTAGAAGAAAATTCTTGGTCTGTTCTGATCTGGGTCAACGACAACAGGATGCCTGCTTGAAGTGGAAGTATAATTTATTCCACAGCAATGCAAACGCTTAGTGGTTGAAGGTGACATTTCAAAAAGCAAAGTTTGAAAATATTTATAGACAAGTTTAGGCTTTGTTAGTACAGCATGCTAATGTAATTTGCTTGGAGGGAGGACTGAGCCATGTCTGGTGAGAAGAAAGTGCCATTTCCTTACCCTATGGCAGTGGTGGCAAACCTATGGCACGGGTGCCAGAGGCGGCACTCAGAGCCCTCTCTGTGGGCACGTGTGCTGTCACCCCAGCCCTAGGCCTTCAGCTGGATTTTATAAAATCCTTTCGCTTTAGGCCTCTGCCATGTGCAAAAAAAAAAGGTTGTCGATTTCAACTTCTCGCGGGGAAAAAAAAGATCTTGCAAAGTTGGAATTGATTGAACTTTTTAGTCCCACCCAGTCTGCCGTTACCACCACAGCCACGCCAGCCAATGGGCCACACCCAGCCAATGGGCCACACCCACCCAGCACTCCACGATGCATAAGTGGGTTTTGGGTTGCAGTTTGGGCACTCAATCTCTAAAAGGTTCGCCATCACTGCCCTATGGAGTGAGATAATCTTACATATCTCTTGTGTGTATTAGCTGTGGGCCCCAATTTGGGGAATCATTTAGTGTTTATATATAAAGGATTTTGGTATCTTAAGGGGCTTTTGGTTTTTGACTTGTTGGTATCAGCTTACTTCCTTGTGTAAGAGGCTCTTAATAAATTTCAGCCTAAGTATCAATATGGTCTGAAAAGCTTAAGGGGTCTTTTTGTTTTATTGTTTTAAGTTTCACTGATAGCGCCAGGGGTAGCTAGGGGTTAATGTGGGTCTAGCTAGCAATGGTATTGTGGAGGCTTTCACTTTTTCACATATCTATTTGCATAATTCAAAGAATTAGATATTTCTATAAGAAACTTGCAGTCTGACTTAGCCTTACTGTCCTCGTTTCAGTTTCTCCATTATCAAAGTGGAATGTAAGTGATGTTCAGGGCATAGAGAATTTTATTTAGAAATATTAGATGCTAGCCTTTTCCCTGGGGCAAATATAGCTTTTTGTTCGCATCTACTAAAAAATATTGTATGGCCCTTTCCTGTTAGTCAGGGGTGTCACACTGCCAGCCCACGGGCCGGATGCGTCACACTAAAACCGCGCCCACCCCATTGCCGGCAATGGGGAAAAGTCACAATACATCACAACACGTCACCTGACGTTGCAAGTTTGACACCCCTGCTGTAAGTGAGGCATCCTTCCCCAGTGTTTATGGAGATTCTGTCATCCAGATCATAATTATCCCAAAGATGCTTTTTCACAAGGCAACTAGACTTTCTTGCTTTTCTTTTTCTTTCATCCAAAAAGCTTCTTCAGTTCTGACTGGATGATAGGAGAATGGAAGGATTTATACTCCTTGCAGACAGCTGTTCATTTGCATTCTTTTAGAGAGTCATTGATGCCACCAGATTTATCTGTGTCATCAGGGTCACCTGAGTAGTGCAAATGGATGTGGAGCCTTCTTGGAACTGTTGAAAGGACTGTGTTGTAGACTGGAGATAGATCAGCGGTTCTCAACCTATGGGTCGCGACCCCATTTGGGGTCGATCGACCATTTCACGGGGGTCGCCAAGCAAGGCTGTCCGCCATTTTTTTCCCCTTTTCCGGCGGGTGCCTTACCTCCCTTGGGCTGGGCCAGCTGGTGGTCGGCCTGCTCCGTCTTTGCCGCTTGCCAGCTACGCCTCGGCCGGCGCAGGGGGCGGAACCACCCATGCGCGGTGCTCCCGGGCAGGGAAAGTCCTCGACTTACGACCGGTTGGGTAGTCCTCGACTTACGACCGGTTTAGTCCTCGACTTACGACCGGTTTAGTCCTCGACTTACGACCAGTTGGGGTCGCGGCATTAAAAAGGTTGAGAACTACTGAGATAGATGATGTCAGATCCCTCCCCCTGTGTTGAGAGAGGACTGTTCAGTTTTGACATAGATAGCTTCTTTGACCCCTCTTTCAAACCAGCGGTCCTCTCTGTCCAAAATATGGCCTTTGCTGTCTTCGAAAGAATGGCTTTTGTTTTTTTAAATGCAGATGGACTGCTGGCTTTTGCCCTGATGGGTTTGTTCTCCTACGTTGTGCCATCCTCCCCCAAATTCTGGTCGCAACGAAAATGTTTACCGCTGCCTGCCTGCTGCCACCTTTCCTTTCAGGGCCTCGCCTCCTTTCCCCCTATAAGTGACCTAGAAACGGCGCAATCAAAACTTCCCCTGAGGTGTTGCAATGCCCCACTTTGCTAAAAGCCAAAGGCTCTTGCGGCGTCTGCCTCTTCCGACTTGCGTCACGTGTAGAAGCTGACGTCAGGCGAGGCGGAACCCGGGGAGCTTGCGGGTGGAGCCGACTCTCTCCCGGGCAGCTGGTCTATCCGCACGGGAGAGAAGAGCCGAAACCGCGCCTCGTTCTGGGACGGAGCTGTCGGGGTGCGGAAAGTAGGGGAAAGCGGGTTTTGATTTTCTTCATCTGCGGCCGGCGCTGCTGCGAGGCATCGCTCTCCGGGAAGAAAGTGCCAAGCTCCCCTCCCCTTCTGATTTGGACATCTGGACGGGCAGCTGTTGTGCATGGCTAAAGGGAAAGCGACGGGAATTCCCAGACCTGTGACGCAAGCGGAGAGCGAAATGGCTCAGCCGCCGTCGCCGCCGCCGCCGTCCTGTTCCTTGTCCTGTCTGGAGGGGTCCAGCCCCCCGTCTCCTTACATTCACAGCTTGCCCTCCTGGGTGCTGGAGGACTTTTGCCAGAAGATGGACTGCCTCAACGGGTACGACTGGATGCGCTTTGGTGAGCCAACCGGGTGGGTGGGGGAGAGGGGAGAGAATGTTGCTCTTTAAGTTTTCTCCTTTCAGCAGCTGTACAGAACGAAGGTGAATGACTAAAACTTCACAAAAGTACATTATTGATTATATATATCCACTATACTGTATGTATTTGCGCCAATTAACTAAAATATTAGGTCTCGCAAATTCTGGTAGTGTGGCGCCATGCCAGAAAGAATTTAATCTCTCTTGGCAAAATGATAGAATCTCTTAAAGATTTAGAAACCTACTAAAATAAATGATATGGCATGTACGAAAGATCAGAATCGTTTTGGAGCTGTGTTTCTTATTTCTGCTTCTGTTTTGTTTTGTAATGAAAGAACTTTCTTTTTTTTTTAAATGAAGATGAGGAAATGATCTACTTTTAATTAGTGTAGACAGTCACTTTCACGGTATTGTCATTTTACTACTTACTAAGGAAATTCTCCGAAGTCATCAACACCGTTTCCCGTAAAGGGTACTTTTAATGAGTGATACTAGACAGGAATAACAAATTGGGATGACTATTTTCCGAAGAACAATCTCCACATGGTTAAGGTAGAGAACTTTATTTTACATTTCATTATGGTGGTCCTCAGAGACTCTTTGGGTATAAATTGTTCTTTTAATTTTCCCACATGGTTTTTCATTAATGGGAGTATCTCAAGAGATACGTCATACATCAGAAAGCCTGTCTTATCACTGGCTTTCTATTTCACTGGCAAACAATTATGAGTCATGGTTTATAAATTGCTGGAGTGCATTCCTGAAGAATGAGGGATTAATAGTCTGCTCTGGAGTGATTTCCCATCAATACAGCAGTTCAAATAAATGAGGAAGAGGGCAGCTCTTCTGTGCATGGTATTGCCTAGTCACTAGGGAAAGATACCTCTGTGGACTCCTAGGTACACGCACCCCCTTCCCGCACTTTTGCATGTCGAATCCCAGTGTGTAAGCAGTTACATTCCTAATCATTTATGGGAAAAATCACCTCCAGATGAACAGCAGAATTTGAAAGTTACTTGAATAATAGGAATAAAATTTACCCATTTCTTCCAATACCCACTGGTGGGGCAAGACATATGGATAGATAGCTGGTCATTTGATGTACCACTAATGTTCATAAATGATAGAAAAAATGAAACATAGCAAAACTTCCCAACTTTTTTGCAAAGCTGTTGTGATCACAAAATGCCACTATAAAAAACGAATACAATGCTGCATTTGAGGCCCATCCCTTAAACAGCTTTTCTCTCTTCCAAGTCCTATGGCATCAGCAATTTATAGCTTCTTCATGGAGCAGTAAAATAAGGTGTTATATGGGCAGTGAAGAAACTTGCAGAGAACTTTGGCCAAACACTGTTTTCTTATACTTGCCAGTCATCTGCTAAAAAGACAAGGAACTGTGGTGAGACCTCCATAGTCATTATTACCTATAACCCTTCTGTTATATTATATAGATTAATGTTAAGCAGAAATAGGGTAACATATACCATGGGTGTCAAACTTGCCATGTCTCGTGATGTGTCGCAACGTATCGTGACTTTTTTTGCATTGCCGGAGCTGTGATGGGTGCGGCCTCCGCATGATGCAACCAGCCCACGGACCGGCAGTTTGACACCTCTGACATATACTTTTTCAGATTATATGATCCTCCAGTTCCCACCAATTTTGGCCACCATATCACAAAAAAGATGTTGAGAGTTTGAAAAAAATTCAAAGAAGAGCAACTAAGATGATCAAAGGCCTGGAGACTAAAACATATAAAGAATGGCTGCAGGACTTGTATTTGGCTAAAGAAAAGAAGAAATAGGGGAGACATGATAGCAGTATTCCAGTATTTGAGGGGCTGCCACAAAGAAGAGGGGGTTACGTTATTCACCAAAGCACCAGAGGGAAGGACGAGAAACAATGGTTGGAAACTGATCAAAGAGAGAAGCAACCTGGAATTAAGGAGAAACTTCCTGACAGTGAGGACAATTAACCAGTGGAACAGCTTGCCTCCAGAAATCGTGGGTGCTCCATCACTGGAGGTTTTTAAGAGACTAGACCAGACATGTCAAACTCACGATGTTACGTGACATCGCGCAACGTATCAGAGCTTTTTTGCCATTGCCGGCAATGGGGTGGGCGTGGTTTCCCAATGATGCATCCAGCCTGCGGGCCAGCAGTTTGACACCCCTGGACTAGACAGTCACTTGTCTGAGATGGTATAGGTTCTCCTGCTTGAGTAGGGGGTTGGACTAGAAGATCTCCAAGGTCCCTTCCAGTTCTATTCTATTCTTATTCTTGATCATGGTGAGGAATTTGATACATGTCAGAATTTGCCAAACTACAGATCCCAGATTTCCTCATAATTGAACATCCTGGTTTTAATTGAGATTTGTATTACAGCAACATTTGAAGTAGGTTCCTCACTCACCATCCAACCTTCTGGATTAAATTCTGAGGTAAAATTGTGGGAGTTTTCATGTCTTTCAGATGTTGTCAACAAGTTCAACCAGATGATAGGAAAATGAGCTGTTAATCAAAATAGTCTTGTTTTGCTTTCAGCATCTCATGTGATAACTGACCAGACTGAGCTGAGAAAAATCAAATGCATGGAAAAAGCAGGAATTAGTATAACAAGAGAACTAATGTGGTGGTGGGGAGTGCGGCTTGCAACGGTCCAACAATTGTTGGAACTTCTGCAGGAATTGGAGTTCTACAGAGCAGCACAAGTGATTGCAGATTGTAAGTACTTTCTTTCTTTTCTTGAGCTAGGTAAGTGAAAATATGCAAAGAGCAGAAAATTCATAAGAAGTACTAAACTAAATAAAGACATCAGATGAGGGAATGGGAATGCTACTGAACCTAGTTTATACTAACATGTTTCTGGTTGCTTCTGCCTCATCCATATACCTTGATACCTTACCTCTTGTTCTTTAACCTTCTCACCTCTCCACTGCATTACTGTCTGGCAGATTCCACACATTCTCAGTGGTGTGAAATTTCATTCTACTACATTGTTTTCAACAAAAGTAAACAGGAACCCGGAAGAAAAGATGTGAATTTCCTGAAATATAATAGCATCTGCAGCATTTTGGAATGTTTCCCTGAGGTTACTGAATTCTTGATTTGCTTCAGAGAATTCAGATATTTATCTCATTGTAGAATATGGCCCTTTGTTTGCACCCAATGTCCCACCGAGAAACAAATGAAATATAACTGAACATTTTAAAATATTGTTACAGAGAAGGAATTGATTTTGAAATCTACATATTGTTATAGATTGTTCTTCATCAAGGCCTATCTGTACAAGAATAAGTGCAAGTATTTTGAGCAGAAAACCCAGCTGAATTGGATTTGCAAGTCTCAATATCCTACCACTCTGCCTCTACACATGTACAGTTAGGAATACTTTACCAATATATATTTATATTTACAGGGAAATCACACAATCATGATTCTACCAGGCCTCTTTTGAAGCCCCCGGAACAGGAGAAGGAATTGCCACATCCAAGTGGGAAGGAAAATAAAGAGAAAATAGGAAATGGGATGAAAGCATCACCATCATTGCCAAACCTGACAGAGATGCATAGAAGACAGAATGGTATGGTACAAAAAAGCATTTAGAATGTTTTTTTAAAAATCGTTAACTTTTGTTT